GGGCTCCATCCCCAACAGGGGGTTCCGTCCCCAATAGGGGCTCCGTTCCCAACAGGGGGCTCCGTCCCCAATAGGGGGTCCATCCCCAACGGGGCGTGCAGGAGGCAGCCAGTCCTTGATTCTCTCACCCTCGCGGCGCGCAGGTGCGCGCAGTCCGGGGGCTGCTCTCCCCCACGCTGCTCGCCAGCTACGAGGGAAGACCCCCGTCCACAGAGTTGGAGGGTGACGAGGAGACAGGCCCGGAGGCTGCCCGCAGCTGGTCCCTGTCGCGCCAGGCCTGGCCGGGTCAGCAGGTGCTTGCGTGCTGTCGGCCCGTGGTCAGGGTCGCCCGTTTTCAAACGGACCCTGCAAGGAAGCTGAGTGCACAGCCTAGCAGCCTCCCGGCCCCATGTTGCCGAGCCATTTTTACTGTTGTTTATACCCACGTGAGACAGGATGTAAGCCCTCAGCTCATGGCTCTTACTTACCCATCGAAAACCAAAACAGGAAGCTAAAACGAATGGCTGTTACAGCGAGGCTCCAGGGAGCGTTTGGTGCTCTTGGAGCTGTTGCTGACATGCGAGGCTACTCGCAATGAAGCGGTGGCTGTTGCTGGCCCCGCGCCCTTCGCCCTTGGAGGGCGGCTAGACGAGGTTCACTTGATGGGGCGACCTGACGCGTCCCCCATGTTCTCAGGTCAGAGCCCGGCTCCACGTGGCTGCCCGGGGTGTGACCAGGCTCCGTTCTCTGGGCCTCTGCTCACCGAGCAGCACTTCTGGCAGCAGGAGCTCGCACACACAAATCAGGTGCAGACCCTGCCGTCCCAGCAGTGCCGGATCGCACACGCTGGTTTTAAGGAAAATAGGAAGCACAAAATGTACACATTCTCAGGGCAGTCCTTGGGCCCAGAGTATGTTCTGGAGCCCTGGTGTAGCGGTTGCGTTGGGCGGCCCTCACGGTGGGCAGTGCGGTGCCCTAGAGAGAAGTGGGCTTTGAAGTCAGTAGTCGGATTCACATCGCGTGCTGCCTGCTTGCCTTGCCGTCTTGGTGAACACATAACTCTTCTAGGCCTTAATTTTCTAAATCTCTAATACGTGAATAATAGTAATGGGCCTCAGACAACGGATTTAAACTACAGCTCTGTAGTGTGCTGACTGGATGACCTTGGTCAAGCAGCTTAGCTTCTCTGGGCCTCTCTTTCCCGTGTGAAATAGGGCTAAAACTATTTAAATCATAAGATTGTGTGAGGTATACTCAAGAGTCATGTCCCGCGAAAGACAGTGGGTTGAGTACATGTGTTTGTCTGTTTCCTCTAAAATGACAGCGAGGCCCTAACTGGTTTGTCTCAGTGGATAGAGTGTGGGTCTGCGGACTGAAGGGTCCCGGGTTTGATTCCAGTCAAGGGCACATGCCCAGGTTGTGGGCTCCATCCCCAATAGGAGGCAGCCGGTCAATGATTCCCTCTCATCATTGACGTTTCTCTCTCTCCCTCTCCCTTCCTCTCTGAAATGAATAAAAATATATTTAAAATAAATAAAATAAAACAACAGGGAAAACTTTTTTTTAAACACAAAACTAAAAAGAACATGAGAGGAGATAATTGACACAAAGCAGATGGCCAAGGGCTAAGCCAGCTGCCTGCCCCAAAAGCAGCCAGACCATGACCTCCCCCAAATCCCAGGAATTGGCAGTGCCAGGGACCTTGGAAGTGGAGGTGAAGGGGGACCGAGGACAGGAGGATTACTTCAAAGTCTATTTAAGAAGGAGATCCCCATAGTCCCCGTCCCCCCCGCCCCCCCCAATGGCCAAGCAGACAGCGAACTACCCCTCTTCCATGTTGGAGGACAAAGCATTGCTCTTTCCCAGGATTTACTCTCAGGAAAGAACAGCTCAGAGAGTGTGGGGGAACACCAGGCTGCTGCAGGAGTTTGAGGGAGGGACGACACTGAACACAGTGTGAGAGCAAGTTCCCACACTGAGCACTACTGGGGCCCCGCCTCACCTTCCCACCTGGCTTCTCGACTGGCAGCTGAAGGAAGTACCTTCTGAGTGTCTGACAGCCCAAGAGGAAGGTTTGGAGGCTCCCCAGGCAAGAACCTGGCTAGTTCATATGACTGGGTAGCCAGTGCCACTAGGCGTGTGAAGAAAACCCCTCGTAAGGCAGCACAGAACAGAAGAGCAGAAGCCACTCGGACGAGACCATATGCACAGAGAGGAGGAGCGGTACTGTAGCCACGAGAAAAGGTTAGGGTGCAGCCCTGACTGGGGCTCAGTGGTTAGCCCACAGACCGGAGGGTCTCGGGTTCCGTTCCCAGTCAAGGGCATGTACCTCTGTTGCAGGTTCGAGCCTCAGCCCCGGTCCCAGTCCGATGTGTCTCTCTCCCCTCCTCCTCCCTCCCTTCCACTCTCTAAAAATCAATTAAAAAATATTCTCTGATGAGAATTTTTTTTTTAAAAAAAAGGTTAGGATATGATTTCACACTATGTCTAAGTATGTATTTGAGTTTATAGGCTAATGAGGGAAGGAGGCAGACTGGTCAAGACTTGGTGGGAGAGGAGACTCATGAAGCCTGGAGGAGTCAGAGCTTGATAAGGGGTGATGCCAACGATATGTCTTCAATTATGAAAGGGAGGCGGAAGGGAGGGGCTATAGGAAAAGCACGTGTGAAGATGGGGCGCCAAGAAATAGCATAAAGCGTCGCCTGCGGGCTGAAGGGCCCTGGGTTCGATTCCGCTCAAGGGCACATGTCCAGGTTTTGGGCTCATCCCCAGTAGAGGCTGTGTAGGAGGCAACCAAATCAATGATTCTCATTATTGATGTTTCTATCCCTCCGCCTTCCTCTCTGAAATCAATAAAAATATATATATATATTTTAAAAAAGAAATAGCATAAGGGAGGGTCCACTCAGTTTGATGGGCTGGAACACAGATCCAGGGTAGGAAGGGAGAGCTGGGAAGGTGGGGAAACCAGGATTCTGGGGGCAGGGCATCCCCTGAGGGAGCCAAGGAAGCGTTGGAACCAGGAGTCTGGTCCAATTGGTGCTGGGGATGGACGTGGCGTCTGGGCTGACAGTGGGGAAGCCAGGGAGGAGGACGGCGCCTGGCAGGCCTGGCGAGGGCAGGCCAGGGCCAGCTCAGTCACAGGCCTTGCTCTCTTCCTCTTCTCTAGCCGCTCAGGTGGCCCTTTCATTACGTGTTTACTCCTGGCCTCGGGGGTGAATAAGGAAGGAAAAGATGAAGTAAACTTAACCTTCCTTGTTCTCGGGAGAATCCAGAGTACTGCATCATTAGGTTTTAAAAAACATTTTATTTTTTAAAAGTTAAAATTGCAAATTCAGAAACATGTAAAATGAAAAAGGATTCCTTCCCCTGTTTCCTCACCACTATTAACTACTGTGTTAATGCAGTAAGTATCCTTCCAGGAATTATATATGCATGTCTTTTCAGAAATGTTTGCGAAGTAAGATCGTATTGTACTTTGCTTTTTTCACTTAATAGTCTGCTTTGGACACTCTGTACTCACACATGGAAGTCTGCCTCGATAAGGTGCCATATCATAAATTCTGTAATGTCTTCTGTTTGTGGACTTTTTGTTGTTGTTAATCCTCACCTGAGGATATTTTTTCCATTGACTTTTTAGAGAGAGAGATACATCAATGTGAGAGAGACATCTGATAGTTGCCTCCCACATGTGCCCTGACCCGGCGGGGCGGGGTGGGGTGGGGAGGTGGGTGGGTCTAACCTGTAATCCAGGTACATGCCCTTGACCAGGAATCAAACCCGCAATCGTTTGGTGCAAGGGCCACGCTCTGACTACTGCGCCACTGGCCAGGGCTATCACCATTAACTTCTATATATTTTTTTTATTGATTTCAAAGAGGAAGGAAGAGGGAGAGAAAGATAGAAACATCAATGATGAGAGAGAATCATTGATCGGTTGCCTCCAGCACACCCCTCAGCAGAGATCAAGCCTGCAACCCGGGCATGTGCCCTGACTGGGAATTGAACCATGACCTCCTGGTTCTTAGGTCCATGCTCAAGCCCTGAGCCACGCCATTACATTTTTTTAAACACACACACACACACACACACAGTGGGGCCTTGACTTACGAGTTTCACTCGTTCCGAGACCAAGCTCGTTAACTCAAATTACTCTATCAACTCAATGCAAAAATTCAGCCAAGAGACAGCTTGTATCTCAAAAAACTCGTTGGTCAGGACACTCGTAAGTCAAGGCCTCACTGTGTGTGTGTGTGTATAATTGATTTTAGAGAGGAAGGGAGAGGGAGGGAGAGATAGAAACATCAATGATGAGAGAGAATCATTGATTGGCTGCTTCCTGCACGGCCTTCACTGGGGATCAAGCCCGCAACCCGGGCATGTGCCCTTGACCGGAATCGAACCTGGGACACCTCAGTCTGCAGGCCAACGCTCCATCCACTGAGCCAAACCAGCCAGGGCTACATTTTAATTTTGGCTAATCTGATTGATCAGAAATGATACATTATATCAATCTGTCTTTTATGATATGAGGTAAAGCATCTTTTCATATGCAACTTTATATGTCATTTCTCATTTTTTCCCTATAAACTTCCCATTTTTCTATTAGGTCATTTCTCTTTTATGGGCTCTTTGTATATTAAGGAAAGTATGTCCTTTGTCAAGTGTGGTTTAAATCTTTTCTTCTGACTTGGGGGTTTGTTTGTTGTTCGGAAGCTTCTTGATTTATATAGGGCAGGTTTGT